TTCCTGCTCCTATTAATTGATGATAAGTGAGTGGAACTGTCCTTAGGGAAGTGCTTAGTTCAGCCTTTACCATCCTGCAAATAAAGCTGCTGGCCTGCTTCCCATCCACAAATTTGTTATTCTTGAACCAGAGACCAGAAGAGGCATCCACTCATCTAACAATGATCAGTTAAGCCCTATTATGTGTCAGACAATATACAGGGTACTAGGCATTCAAAGATGAATAATATAAATCAGTATGGAAAGTGCTATGATAAGGATACCTAAATAGTGTAATAAAAAATACCTGTTGCAGTCAAGTTGATTTTGACTTACAACAACCCTATAGGACAGAGTAGAACTGTCCCATAGGGTTTCCAAGTAATGACTGGTGGATTCAAACTGCTGACCTTTTGGTTAGCAGCCGAGTTATTAACCACCATGCCACCAGGGCTCCAATAGTGCAATAGAAGTATCTTAGTTATCTAGTACTGCCATAACAGAAATACCACAAGTGGATGGCTTTAACAAACAGAAGTTTATTATCTCACAGTTTAGGAGGCTAAAAGTCCAAATTCAGGGTGCCAGCTCCATGGAAAAGATTTCTTTCTCCGTCGGCTCTGGGGGAAAGTCCTTGTTATCAATCTTCCCCTGGTCTAGGAGCTTCTCAGCCCAGGGACCCTAAGTCCAAAGGATGTGCTCTGCTGGCTCTTCTTGCTTGGTGGTAATGAGGTCCTCCTGTCTCTCTGCTTGATTCTCTTTTTTATATCTCAAAAGAGATTAACTCAAGATACAACCTAATCTCTTAGATTGAATCCTACCTCATTAACATAATTGCCTCTAATCCTGCCTCATTAACATCATAGATGTAGGATTTACAACACATAGGAAAAAGACATCAGATGACAAAATGGTGCATAATCACACAATATTGGGAGTCATGACCTAGCCAAGTTGACACACATTTTTGGGGGACTTAATCCAATCCATAACAAGAAGGTATACGTAGCTCTGTGTAGAGGAGGGGGGAAGGAGGAGGAAGGATGAGAAGGCAAAGCTAAAATAGACTCTTAAAGGATGAACAGGAGAGATTTACAGGGCAACAAGGCAGAGGAGCATTCCAGAAATGTAGTAAATTCTCAAATGTATCTATAAGAATCTAGTGCAGAGCTTCATGAAAAAGAATCAAAAAACACAAGGCAGGACAAAGAAAGGAGTATAATACACCATGAACAAACTCCGTGGTTCGTGTAGACTATTAGTCCTATACATTATTTTCTTCTGAGTCTTTCATTTCCTTCTTTCTCTTTTGTACAGATGAGTAGAGACCAATAGTTGTATCTTAGATAGCTGCTCATAAGCTTTTAAGACCCCAGACGCTACTCACCACACTGGGATGTAGAACATATACACTTTATGAACTACATTATAATAATTAACTGGGTTGTCCCACAAGACTGTGGTCCTAAGCCTTCAAACCCAGAAAATCAGTCTTGAGAAGTGTTTGGTTATGTCTAAGAAGTATCCATAACTGTGTCCCCTATGTAGTTTCCTATATATATGAATATACATGCATGCACACACATACCTGTATGTACATATGCCTATAGTACATCTATCTGTGCACACATATGTACACACATATTTATGCCCATACATGTATATTCTTATATGCATATTTGTATAACCACACACATATTTTTTTGTTGGTGGTGTTGTTGCAAAATCATATTTGTCATATCCTTTACCAAAAATGTCCTTTTCTCTTGTGTACTTCTTAGTGACATCATTTAAGTTGGGCAAGATGTGTGTGCTTCACGCACATTCAATGCTACCTTTCCCATCGCCAGTAATAACAAGTGTCTACTATCTCTACAGTGCTTCGCCATCCCTGGTAACCACCAGCGAGCATTGGTCTCTCTGTTTTGTGTATATATGTGTGTGTGTGTGTGTGTGTGTGTGTGTATAGTCATTCTTATCTTCTTATAGAAGTGTGATCATACTATATTTGTCCTTTTGTTATTGAAATATTTCACTCAGCATAATGTCCTCCAGGTTCATCTGCATTATAAGATGTTTCCAGGACTCATCATTATTCTTTATGGCTGTGTAGTATTCCATTATATGCATGTACCACATTTTGTTTATCTATTCATCCATTGTTGGATATTTAGGTTGTTTGTATCTTTTTGCTATTGTGAATAATGCTGCAATGAACGTAAGTGTACATATGTCTGTCTGTGTCTCTTTAATTAGATCCCTAGGGTATATACCTAGGAGTGGGATTGCTGGATCATAAGGTATTTCTATTTCTACTTTTTTGAGGAAGCACCATACCGTCTTCTGTAGTGGTTGTGTGTACCACTTTACACTTCCACCAGTAGTGGGTAAGGGTTCCAGTCTTCCCATGTCCTGGCCGGCATTTGTTGTTTTCTGTTTTTTTAGTCAGTGCTGTTTTTGAAGGGGTGAGATGATATCTCATTGTAGTTTTGATTTGCATCTCTTTAATGGCTAATGATTGCGGGCATTTTTTCATGTGTTTGTTGGCTGCCTGAATGTCCTCTTTGGTGAAGTGTCTGTTCATGTTCTTTGCCCATTTTTTAATTGGATTGTCTTTTTGTTATTGAGTTGTTGAAGTTTTCTATATATTTTAGAGATTAGACCTTTATCGGATATAGCATTCCCAAAGTTTTTTTTTCAAATCTGTAGGTTGTCTTTTTATTCTTTTGATAAAGTCTTTCTTCTTGTTAGGAAGGCATGGGATAGGTCAACATCAGCCTATTCACAGACACTACATGCTTAAATATACACATCTTATTACATGGTCCGACATTCTTTTTTAAAGAATTTTGTTTATTTGGTTGTTATTGTTAAGAATACACACAGCAAAACATACAACAATTCAACAGTTTCTACATGTACCATTTAGTGACGATTATATTCTTCGAGTTGTGCAATCATTCTCACCCTCCTTTTCTGAGTTGTTCCTCCCCATTCACATAAATTCACTGCCCCCTAATGTTCCTATCTAATCTTTTGAGTTGCTGCTATCAATTTGATTCCATATAGTAGTTCTTAAAAGATCATAATGCTTAAGGCAGACATTTTTCACTAGATGAGCAAAACCATTGTTTGGTGTTAAGAAGACTTCCAAGAATAAGTCTTTTGATGAGCATAAGTATTTAACTTTTAGGAGGTCCTAGTTATCTAATTTGTCTTCTGTTGTTCATGCATTTGTAATTGTGTTTGATACTGTATTTAAAAAAAAAAATTAGATCTCATACTTTTGTCCCTGTGCTGTCTTCCAGGAACTTTAAAGTTTTAGCTTTAACATTTAAGTTTTTGCATTTTGACTTAGTTTTTGTGTGTGGTGTGAGGTATGGCTCCTGTTTCATTTTTCTCCAAATGGATATCCAGTTTTGCCAGCATCATTTGTTAAAGAGATTGTTTCTTCCCCATTGAATGGACTTTGACCCCTTGTTGAAAATCAGCTGCCCATAGATGGATTGATTTATTTTTGGGTTCTCAATTCTATTCCATTGGTCTGTGTCTATTGATGAACCAGTATCAAGCCATTTTGATTACTGTGGCAGCATAGTATGTTTTGAAATCAGGAAGTATGAGGCCTCCTACTTTGTTCTTATTCTTCAATATTGTTTTGGCTATTTGGGGCCTCTTTCCTTTCCAGATAAAATTGGTGATTAGTTTTTTCATTTCAGTAAAAAAAAATGTTGTTGGAATTTGTATTGGTATTGCATTATATCTATAGATTACTTAGGGTACTATTGACATTTTCACAGTGTTAAATATTCTAATCCATGAGCAGAGAATGTTCTCCATTTATGTATGTGATCACTTTACATTGAGCTCATCCACTTATTCATTAAGCATTGAATGCATGTTGTTATTGTGGCTGCTGGCATTGCATGCCTTGTGCAGAAATGGTATAGCTATGACCATCCCACTTGGGATGCTTCTTCTGGTTCCCCTAGAGGTCAGACATTTTGTTGCTACTGTGAGGACAAATCAGGAAACCACTTGGATTTTCATATTCATTTCTCAAAAGAGAAAATGCTGTATTGGGAGTGAGGCTAACCCATTCTTTACAACAGACCTTCTGCTGGCAATCATTCTGCTAGTTTTCACCAGAGGTACTCTGTTCTCACCACCAAGATCTAGTCTCTTGACACAGACACAACATGACAAGCCAGAGTGGTTACATGGGCCTCTGTAAAATAAACATTAACTTCAATTGCCCCACCACATCAGCCACTTCTGCATTAGGGAACCCTGAGCAATGGTTTCAGCCCCATGAAAATAGCACACACGTGGGTGCTTCCTGTTTTCCTGTTTTGTCTCTATTTTCAGAGAAGGAAAGTAAAAACATTCCTAATAAGGACATTGCTATCACCTTTTTGCACTTGATAAGCTTGACCTTTATTTTACCACATAAGTCAGGACTAGTATATACCACAACCCTGCTAATTCTTTTCTTTTCCTCCTTCCTCCCACCTATCTCCTGCCACTTTCCCAGAAGCATAAAGCTTTCAACATCCTGCTGTCCATTAGCATAAATAAACTCAAGCTTTTAGAGTAAAAATAATTTTAATGCTATATTTGTTAAAGACTACATTAGTATAAGAGGATAAAAATATTCCTCAGTAACAGGTAAACAATGTACTTTAGAGGCAATAACATGCATTTATTGTGGTTCCCTGAAAGTCAATTATTTTAGCCATAGATTAAAACCTTAGGACTCAGCACAAGTTACATTTCCACTTCAGAAATTCTCAAACTATGCAGTGTCTCAGGATATGTACTTTCATGTTTTAATTTATTTTTCTATTGCCAATATGTTATAGGCAGATCTAAGAAAGAAAGAAACAAACAAAATATGAAGTGCCATTTAAATTCAATTTTTTCTCTATGAACCAATGAATACTGTTATTATAGATTTTCTCCTTGTTTTGTTTTTACATATCTGTTGTTAATTTAAATTTTATGTGACATTTATATAATAGATAAGAAAATACTGGGCTAAGAAGGAACAGAAATGGCAAGAAATGGAAATGAGAGATCTTCAGCGTCTGGAAGAACTGAAGAAATTAATGGCTGAACAGTCAGTGAAAGACAGAGAAAGGTAAAAGAAAAAATTTAACTTGTATGAGCAGTGGAGGTGGCGAACAGCATCTTCTGTGATGCGTTAGGATAAACAGTATTAGAGGGAGCATTTTTCTACATTTAATGTATCCTTATAATGTTAATGTTCACAAATGGATAAAATGATATATTTTAAACTATCATACTCACACCAAACCAAACCAAACCTGTTGCTGTTAAGTTGATTCCGACTCATAGCAACCCTATAGGACAGAATACAACTGCCCTATAGGGTTTCCAAGGAGAGATTGGTGGATTCAAACTGCCGACCTTTTGGTTAGCAGCTAAGCTCTTAACCACTGCGCCTCTAGGGCCCCCGTATTCAAACATGAACCTCTAATTTCCCATTTTGTTCCTTAGATTTCTGGTTTAAATCCCCACAGAGGATTTTATAGTACTTGATTGCCCACTGTGTGCATGAAATGATACTGACAGCTACAGTGACTTACTATTTTGACCCAGAGAAACTATTATTCAGATAAAAAGGGAGGCCCATTTACTGCAATCAAGGGTGGGGAAGACAAGATATAATTATGCAGTGTTATATGGTATTCATTATATTTAAAGTGTACCCTATATATGAAAAATCTGGATTCCCTACAATCATGTAACTTAAAAACTGGAAAGGATAGTTGGGATCAACTATTTCAGTCACCTCAGTTTATAAATGAATACAGAGAGGGATTAAAATTATTTTTCCAAGGTTACTGTATCAGAGTCAATCAGGAGACAGAAACAACTCAGTAATTTGAACAGGGGAAGTTTAAAGACTTATTAACTGTAACAGGAAATCTCTATTATATGAAGAGATAAAGAAAACTCTAAATAATACCCTAAAGCTGAGGGAGGGTTTCCAAGGAAGAAACAAATTTGGAAGTGGGGCTTTTCAAAGTTAGAGAAGGTGTGATTCTGGCCCACTGGATGGTGGAGTTCTTGGGTGGCCCAGGCCAAAGCTGGCCCACAGTTGCTGAGCAATCAAGAAACATCTCTCTTGGGTGCTGGCAGCCAAGGCCGTGAAGCTGTCCATTGGGATGTCTGTGAGACTTTCTAGGGATCTGCCTATGGGGGTGACTCTCATTTTGATGGGTTGCTGACCATGGAGCTATTGCTGGAAATCCATGAGTGCGGGTACCACTAGGTGTTCCCCAAGCATGCTGCTGGCAGCTGCATGGTGGGAGCAAGAAGGTAAACACTGGAACCAGGAAGTAAAGCCCCTTCCTTCTACAATGTTCCTCCACACCCTTTTCTGATAAAGCTTAACATTGTGTCAGCTGCAAAGGAGAAATAAAGGACCCATCTCCATTTTCACAGAGCAGGCAATGAAGGGTAAATTTGGAGCTGAGAGACAATAAATTGGTAATTAAACCAAAAAACCAAACCCGTTGCCGCTGCTGCCACAGATCCTGGAGTCATTTTGGTGTCACCCCCTACCTCCTGCACTCCCCCAGTGATGCCACTGTGTCACAATAAGATTCTTTTAAATAGTGATCTTCCTTTATGAATTTATGTTAGTCATTGTAAAAAAAAAAAAAAATGCCCCTTAAACTTATACAGAATTTGGGGGGTATAATCATTTTATACAAGAGGTTTACTTGTATCTAGAAAGCTTCATTTGTGACCTTTGGGACGTTATCTGAAACTGCAATCATCAAAGTTGCAGCCTGGATTTGGAATTCCAGATAGATGCCAGGTAATTTCTAAGGACTTTCTAGGTAAAATTCACATTTTTTTAGGTAGCTCAGAATTTTAGAGCTGAGTATAATCTGTTACTGAGAGAACCAAGAATATAACAAAGCCAGAGGTCAAGGCTAGGAGGTGAAGCAGCCAATGAGATACCATAAGAACAAGCACAAACTAATATAAAAGCAAATAACAGAAAACAGGCCATCCCGTGGGTCAGAAACAAAGAGGTAGACAAGAATCCCCAAACAGTGAAATACTAAAGGACAAGGCAAAGGCTGTTGTCAAAATGATGGTTAGACAGTCTTAAACTGTGTGCTAGGGTAACAAAAGACAGCCAAAGAAATTAAAACCCATTGTCGTCAATAGCGACCCTATAGGACAGAGTAGAATGGCCCCATAGGGTTTCCAAGGAGCAGCTGGTGGATTCCAAGTGCTGACCTTTCGGTTAGCAGTCGAGCTCTCAACCACTGCACCACCAGGGCTCCACAGAAATTAAAGGGGATGGGAAAAGCCAAGTAGATGTGGGCTCCCAGGATCTAGGAGACACATTTCTAATGGAATCGCCCCTCATAGCCAGGGAGCTTCTTTGATCACAGTGTCATTTCAGTCTTTTCCTTCCTGTCCGAATAATTATCAAGATTAGCAGATTCAGAACGTCAGTTGAGAAGAAGAAAAGGAAAATCAGATCAATCTATATTATGTAACAGGAAAAAATTGGCACATTATCACATAGTGACAAGAGTACGAAGGACTAGGAACCAAGAGAACTAGGTGTTAATCTTAAATCTTCTTCGAATTGTGTATGACCTGGGGAAAACCATTCACTTAACTTCTGCAAGGCTCTGTTTTGTCCTCTTTAAAATGAAGAAGTTTAAATAGGTAATTGAGGGCTAAGTGAGTCTGTCAACTTTTAAGGGTCCATGATATGTATGCTTAACTCTTATGTGAAATACTACAGATTCAGAAAATTATGGATCCAGTGCTTACATGCCAATCGGAAATCAATGAGGATGACCTTTAAAACATCAGGAAATATATGAGAAATAATTCTCAGCAAATTTTGCTTGATTAGAAATATAATCCTCATTCTGTGATTTAGAGAGATGGAGTTCCACATGTAAATATTGCTAGTAGCTTTTGCTTGTGACAATAACCAGAGATTGTGTTCTTTTGTAACAATCCTGACACTAAGAAACTTGTGTGATTCTTTAAAACATGTTCCTGCACAACTGAAATAAAATTCACAAACCTCATGTTTGATATCTTAACTGTAGACACATTTTTTTTGTATCAGAATAAGGCTTGAAAGGGTTTCCAACTCTTAAGGATTTGAAAACTTCTGTTGTTTACTTCCTTCTTCTATTTTTTAAGTTCTAGGATTAATTTTCATAAAAACAATATTCATAAATAAGCAGATATGTTAGGTTGAGCTGTATGAATCTTCAATTTTTGTAGGTCAAGTAGACAAGTTAGGAAAAGGCTCCCCCTCTGAACTGTGCAGCCCTGCACGAAGCTTGGCAGGCAGAGGACTAGCTGGATGTCATCCCCTATTAATACCTTTGGTCAGACATCACTTTTGCAGAGCACAAACTTCAGTGGTGCATGATATCCCTGCAAATAGACCTACCTAATTGTTTTAAAATACCATATATCATTCATGTTTCTTTTAAAATTTAGCTCTGTAGCCATCTGGAATTTATTTTCATGAATGACATGAGCTAAGTGTCTGACGTCCTTTCTTTCTTTTTTCTTTTGTCTAAATTGATAGCCAACTATGTCAACACCAGTTATTGAATGATTCATCCTTACCCACTGATTTGAAATGCCACCTTTATCATATATTATGTTTTCTAAATATACTTTTGCATCCATATGGACTCTTGATTAGATTATATAAAAACTGATCTATTTTTATAGTTTTATATCAATATCATGCTATTTTAATTATTCTGTTTTGTTATCTGGTAGAACAAGTCTTCACTCATTGTGCTTTTCAAAAACATCTTGGCTGTACTTGTGTCAAACTTCACGTAAAAATCTTGTTGATTTTTTGCACTGAACTTTTGTTAAGGAAAGCTGATATATATACAAATTTTATATCCAATTTAAGAACATGCTTCTGGAATAGCTCTCCAGTTCCAGTCTATTTTTAGGTCCTTTAGAAATTTCATAGTTTTTACTAATGAAGGCTTGGAAATTATTTTAGAATAGGTAGAAATTGGTGACAGAGAAACCAATTAAAAGTTTTCTTGTGAGAAAAAGTGGCAATGGGGATACAGAGGTGGTACAAAAGCAGAGAAATGTTTATGAAGTATTTAGACTAGATAAGATTTGATGACGTTTCATTGAGGATGGAGTTTGAGAAGGAGAGAGAAGGAAGCATAGCTCTGAATATTATGGAACTTTTTCAAGCCTCTTGGGTTGAAAGCTTTAGTTATTTTGTTTTTAACTGGTTTTCCAATAAATTCATTTACCTGTAGGATATATTTTTTTTATATCTTTGGTCATATTCTACAGGGTTTGAAATGTATTTTTATCTAATTTCTAAATGTTTGCATTTCATTTTTGATGTTCCAGTGGATATTGGGGTGGTTGATGAGTGAAGTAAGTCAATCACAAAAGGACAAATATTGTATGAGACCATTATTATAAAAACACAAGCAAAGGTTTACACACAGAAAAAAAAAAAACAATCTTGCCAAAAGGCAAGGTTGCTGATAGCTTTCAATTTTTCTATTTCTTTAATTTCCATGTCTTTTTATACAAATGTGTAAAAATTCATCACACTTTATGGGAAGTTACTAGCAACTGCTTTTTTAAATAAAAAATCTATTCAAGAATAATTTATATATCACAGATTCACTTATTTTAAGTGAACAATTTGATTATTTCTAGTAAATTTACGGGGTTGTGCAACTATCACTAGAGTTCAGTTTGGGAACATTTCCATCACCCCAAGGAGATCCCTCATGCCCATTTGCATGAATTCCTGATCCCACTCCCAACCCCAAGCAACCATTAATCTATTTTCTGTCTCAATGTATTTGCCTTTCCTGGACATTTTACATAGATGGAATGCATCTGGACTGTTTCACTTAGTATAATGTTGCAATGCAATGGATTGCTTTTGTGTGGCCTTTCTCACCATGGTCTTGTAACTCCCACCCAGGTGATTGGGCAGGACTGTGCAGATAGGGTAACTGTAGCCCACCAAAGGGATTGGTCAGTTTTGCCATCCCACTGGGCTTGAGATGAGCCACCCCCGAGGCAGGAAAGAGAGGATTCCACCACACCAAG